ATAGCTCATCAGGACCTCAGAGCTGATCCTCAAGAAGCACATAGGGACCTGTCCCAGAAAGTATCTCCTCATCTATCTTTGGAAGTGGATTAAGACCCATTTTGTTTCTATGAGCCTGCTCTGAAACAAGACTTTTAAACTGTATATCAAAATGAAAAAATTAAGCAAGGGACAGGCATGTTTGTGCTAGATGCCTGGTATCATATGGTGTCAATTGATATGTATCCAAAACATTCTGTAGAACTCCTGCTATAAATGGGCTCTGAACCCCATTTATTAACAACACTTTACTTAAGATCTTTTAGCATGTTAATTTCAAAAGGCAATGAGAAACAATCTCCTCATTATGATGATTTTGCTGACTTCCAACTGGGAAGCAAGCAGGGGTGCCAATGATTTCTTCTTTTGTGGCTGCTTGTTACTTTAAAATCTGTAGGTTTCCAGATAAAGCCATACGGGATGTTCTATTGAAAGGCCCCTGCTCCTGCGTAGGTGTCTCTGTTGGGAGCTCTTTTGTTTCCTCTGCCTCTGAGTCAGAAGCTATTGACTGTAAACTTTGCAATGGACTTAAAACTGAATCAACAAGGTTTGAAGCTGAGAATATCTCAGAGGAAATGATTTTTCCTGTACTGTGTGCCTTTTTAAGATTTTTTCAACTCCTTCCCAGTTGTCAATATCTACCATGCCTGTTAGAGGAAACCAAGGATTATATTTTGTTACCCCTTCTAACATTTTTGTTAGGTCTTTTTTTGGCACATGAGCCCCTGAGTGTTTAAGCAAGCTTTAGAGCAGCTTTATGCATCTTTGCTCTTCAGTTGAAAATTTTTGGCCCATTTTACTCTGGATAAGAACAGCTTGTTCATGGAAGAAAGACTCACTCCTTTTCCTTGTGGAATGCTTCTTTTCCTTGTGGAATGCTTCTTTTCCCTCCTTTCTTCAGGTGTCCCTGGTGAAGTTTTTATCCTGTGAAGGCCTTCTCTGTCTCCCACACTTTCTACTCTAGGGAGACTTACTCATTCAGGCTAAAAATTTGCAGTCTAAGGACTATACATCCCTGTCTTTGGGCACCAGTTATCAGGTGAATAAAATCCTTTAGTTATTGTGGGTTGATCAGGTCCACAATCTCCTGAATGAGTGTACAGTGAAGGCTAAATAAAAAGAGGCAAATGGAATGATTTCAGGGCTCCAGGAGGATCAAAGCCCTCTCACAAAATTTGAGGTTCTGGGGGCTAAGGCCAAGACCTTCTCTGGATGGCCTATACTTATTTGGTTATCAGAAAAAGGGAGGGTAGTACTCAAGAAGGGGGGAATTACCCAAGGACCTCTCCAAGTAAGGTATTAAATTAATCCTTAATAAGGATTAAGTTAATCCACCCAGGAGTGAGATGCCTGTGGCTATAGTCTTTATCTAGTTGAGATTGGATCCAGGTGTCCTTGGCTGTGATCTTGTCTTATCCTTTGAGGTTTTCTGGTTTTATCCACCATTATAGCTTTTAGCAAGGATTAGTAACTCACAGAGGTTCACTTACTATGAGTTCATTGCCCACTTCCAGACAAGCATCCTAGGCTTTGAACAAATTCACAAATAAACATAAAAAGCCAATTGGTTAATTTAAGTCCTGCTCAGGTCTGCTTCATAGTGGTCTCCATGAGCAAAACTTCCAGGGAAACATCTCACTCACACATTTCTAATATAGAAACCGTGCTTGCTCTGTGTAAGTGACAACTATCAGGGATAGCTGATCTGGGTCTGACCCAGGTGCCCCCTAAATCTCACTTGTGAGAGCCTGCAGCTCTCTTGAATCAATTTAGGGTAAACTTGGGAGTAGGGGTGAAGAATTCTCTTGCCTGGTCATGATCTTGAAGAAAATAGTTGCAAAATGGATACATAACAAAGAATTTACAGAATATTTGTATTATATGGTAGCATTATGTCCCAATAAATTCAGATATATAGTTCTCACTGAATGTGAATCCACAGAAAAATAATTCTCTATATGTATATGTGCTGAATACTCAATAGGGTTCAGGTATGGTGACTCATGAGCATAGTCCCAGTTGCTTAGAAGGTTGAGGCAGGAGGATGGAAAGTTCAAATTCAGCCTGGGAAACGTAGAAAGAAAATATCTTAAGGTAAAATAAATTTGAAAGCAATTGAGATTTAGCTCTGTGGTAGTGCTCCTCATTCTATGTCCACTCTCAGTGACCAAAAATAGCAGGGCAAGTTGGTAACATCATGACACTCTCAAAATAAAAAGAGCTTGGATGGAACTCCGTGTGAAGTTCAAGGATTCAATGCCCAATGCTCCCTCCACCCCAGTATACAAGTAACTCCAGAAAATGTCCACATGAAAGCAATGTAATAGGAAACAGGGTGAAGAGTGGAATAGACACTTCAGGATACAGAGATAGAAAATACATGAGAGCATAGTGTGTCAGTCATCAAAGAAGTGCAGAATGTCACATGTGGGAGCATGTACCTGTGATCCCAGCACTTGGAGGTGGACACAAGAGGCCATGAGTTAGAGGACAGCCTAGGTTATATGATGAGTTCAAGACCAGGCCAAACTGCATGGAGGTACCCTGTATCAATAAAAGAGAAGTTCAGAACATAGCCACAGTGAGAGTACACTAAAGAAAATGGAAAGGAGACCAGGCGTGCTGAGTGTTGGAGAAGTTGTGGAACAACTGAAAATCTTGGATTTTCCTGGTGAGAATGTAAAATTCTATTAGCACATTGGTGGTATATATATATATAGCACATATATATAGCACATTGTGATATATATATATATATATCCAATGCCAGATGAAGCTCCATGTACCCATCATTGGGATTCAATTTAGCAATACTTTTTTAAAAAGGAACAACCTGTTGGCACATGCTACTGCATGAATGAAGGTCAGTTATGCCAGGTGAAAGTGAACAGTGGTGGGGAACCTATGGCACGTGTGCCACAGCCAGGTGTTATTGAAGTCTCCTAAAGGTTCATCATCACTGGCTTCAAAGAAAAGCCTGTGCTATGAGTTTCAATTTATATTAAATTGTAGAATCACAATCCAATCCACTTTGACATCACATCATGTATAGGGAAGCAGAAGAAACAATTTCCCAACTGCAGGGGAAAATTGGGAAATGAAGGCTACCTTCGTTATCTTAGAATACTTTCTTGGTGCTTACCTGGATTTGAACTCCAGACCTTGCACTTCCCAGGCGTGCCTGTGAGCCGTATTCCTGGTCCAAAGTAGGACAAAAATTCATATTTTAAATAGGCATAAAATGATATAAAAATGTCAGAAAAAATTAGTGGCTTAAATTGGTCCTTGAATCGCTCTGGGCAGCAGGACCTCACTGTGATGACAGCATGGCCTGTCGCGTGTACATCTGTGTCCAGTGCGGTTCTCAAAGTTCCCAGGGAGAAGGATTGGGAGAGGATGGAGAAGCAAAAGAGACAGAAAGCTG